CCCCCCCCCCCCCCGAAGGATCCAGCCCTCAGGCCAGGCTCCCGCTGTGGGTAGTTCTGCTACGTCAACAACAGCTCCCGGGCTGGACGGAGAGTGAGGAGAAGGGAACAAGGAGGAGGGTGGATCAGGGCTTGGACACACGAGCATGAACTCAGGGCAGAAGGAACAGACAGAACACGATGGGAGTGAAGGGAGGACAGAAGCCACAAATAGTGTCTGGGAATATTTTCAAGTGGAAACTCCAGAGAGCAATTTGGCAGTAGGTACGAGAGTCTTACAGCACATTCACGTCTTCTGACCCAATAATCCAACTTCTAGATCAGCCTAAGAAAAAAAATCAGAGCTGTGTTCAGTATACAAGGATGTTGACTGAAATGTTATTTGTAGCAGAAAGGTGGCATGCCCAACGATAAATATCAATAAATTTTGATACATCTATGCAAAACGGTATTAATACTGACTATGTGACAGAGTACACTTTGATTTTTCCCTGCTGCCTTTCTATGCTTTCCAAGTTTGCCCTTAACTGGCTTGTGCCACAGGCATTAGTGCTCTTCACCGAACACTTTGATTCTCCCGCCAGTCACAACACTGGTGTGCATTTCCCAGCCCTGGACTGGGTGGTCACGTGACACGCTTTGGCAAAGACAGGGGCATGCTGTTTGCCACACTGACTCGGTCCTGCTTGGCAGTTCACAGGAGCACAGAGATGAGGCCCCGAGGGAGCACAACAAACAAGCTAACTGCAGGGAACACGTGGCGGGCACTCCGCCCTGTGCTGGATGCCAGCAGCGCCCGGGGCGCACCTGCCAGCTGCAAGAGCCAGGCACATCTTGGCTGATCCAGCACATAAAGAAAACAACACATGAAAACAGACTCAGATGCAGAGACCGAACAGGTGGTTGCAGAAGGGAGGGGAGGAGAGGTGGGTAAAATGGGGGAAGGGTAGTAAGTGGTGCAAAAGCCTCCAGTTACAGAAGTCAGTCATGGGATGTAAGGTGCAGCATAAGGTATGATCAGTGACACTGTAATAAAACTTTGTACGGGGACAGATGGCTACTAGACTCATCACAGTGACTGTCTCATAATGTGCGCACATGTCAAATCATTAGTACACCTGGAACTAACACAATATTGCACACCAACTATATTTCAATTGAAAAAAAAAAAAAAAAGAAAACTTTGTCATAGAAGAGACGCCACACCCTCCACTCCAGCCCATCGCACAAACCGCCGCAGTTCTCTGCCTTAAGACACAAGACCCCGCTGACATATCTGTCCTTGCCTCCCTGCCACCTCCAGCAATGGTCCACCCGGTGAGCCTCTCAGGATTTCGTGGGGCCCACAA